AATTTTACGTAAAAATACAAGATTTTAATTTTATAACAATAAAAAATAAATAAAAAATTTTGATGCAAAATGCAAAAAGGAAAAATATCTTTATAAGAACTATTGCAGAATAAAAGAAATCCCAAAACCCAACGCTAAAACACGATATTAACTTTCGAAGTATCTTTTGGTAACATGGTTACCTTTTTAGGGACAGCTTTTCACTGTTCTAAAGCTCCGTCAAAATTTTTAAGTCCATTAGAAAGACTTTTGTATAAAAGCAATTTTCCCACAAAATCTGAAGGTACTGATACCTATTTAAAGATAATTCACAATTAAAAACTACAAGAAAACTTTATATACATTACATGTATACAATTTGATGACGTTGAGAAAATTCGAGTACTTTTATTTTGCTGTTCTTTCAAGAAAAGGAAAATTCTAAATGATTTTTAATTTTTTCTGTTAATATACAGTTAACGTGAACTATATTTTTACGTTATAAATATTTACTATTGTTTTTTGCAACAGTTCCATTAAATAACCGACATTTTGCCCTGCTCAATTATGAACCGAATATTTGCTGTATTATCAATAAATCTCAAATCAATTGTACGCAAATTATACTGTTTACAGTGAATAAATCGTTAAAATGCTGGACTTTACGCATTAGAAAAACGTAATTTCGCAGTTTGATACATTAAATCAGAAACATTCGCCACTGGGACCCAATAATGGCACCACTACTGAACGAATTCAACACAACTAGGGCGAAACGTTAAGAAAGTAAAGTCTATGTGAAAAAGACTTTAACAATTTTTTATTTAAAACAATTGTACTAGAGATAATATGATGAAAACAAGAGTGTTTGTAGAAATGGGAACTTAAAAAAAAAACGGCACAATTACTGTTCGGCAGTGCATGTATCTGTAGTATCTGAACATCTTGGCGCGTAGTGCTATTAGGTACTAGACCTACCCACAATACAGATACTTAAACATCAACGTGTGTCTGTGTATGTAAGCTTGTCTTGGAAAGCAATTTGATGTACATTGTTACAGCGCGTTGTACGTATCTACATATAGAAATACGTACACATACTTACCGCCAGCGTGGATGGTAATGTAGGACAGTGTACTACTTTACCTCCGTCCGTAGCTGACTCCGGAATCCCCTCTACGTCTCTTCACCTGGAATCGACAGAGCACCGGCTCTTCCGGTGATTGAGCTTACAAGCTCAGCCTAGCTTTATGTACGGTATGTTCATTCGAAATGGACGAAGATGCAAGCCATCTTGCATTGAAAATACTTATCCGTAAAAAAATCGGAAAGGTTATATTTAGCCGCGGCTTCGCTCGCGTTGATGTCCTGAATACGTGTCAAAGATCATCGACGGCCACATAAAACTAATTTGTTTCTATCCCTCGGGAAAAGTATTTTTTTCTGGATGAATGATACCCTATGTCCCTTCCTGTACTCATGATAGGTTTTACCCGCGGCTTCGCTCGCGCTGATGTCCTAAATACGTGCCGAAAATCATCAACGGTGACCACATAAAACAAATTTTTCTATCCCGCGGGAACAGTATTTTTTTCGAGATAAGAAGTACCCTATGTCCTTTTTTGTATCTCTAATAATTTGTATATAAAATTTCATGATAAATTTTACCTGCGGTTTCGCTCGCGGTGATGTCCTTAGAACGCGTCGAAAATCATCAACGACCACATAAAACTAATTTTTTTATCCCTCAAGAGTAGTATTTTTTCAAGATAAAAGATGCCATTTTTTGTATCCCTGACAAAGTGGGTGGTTAGCCTAGTCAAGACTATAACTGACTAAAAAAAATTCTTAGACAAATCGCGTTTTAATTAAAATCGAATTTTTACGGTAACAAATCAATAATAATGATAAAAAAATTGACAAGGTTATCAAAAATAGGCAAATTTACTGCCAAAATAAGTGTACTTAACTATTGAAGGGGTGCTAAATGTTATGCATTATTAGAACAAAATAAAAGCCGCAATAAAAAAATTAATAAAAAAGGTGATATTTCTAAGTATTTCTTTATAAGGATTATTGTGGAAGATTAAACAGCTTAAACTCCAACGCTAAAACATGAAACTTCCGAAGTACTTTTCAGTAAAAATGCTACCTTCTACAGGACAGCTTTTTAGTGGTTTACAACAGCGTCATAGTTTTCCAGTCCTCTAAAAGGACTATTGTATTGTAAAAGGAACTTATCCACAAAATCTGAAGAAACTGACCTCTACTTGAGGATAATTCACAATTAAAAAGTATATTAAACTTTAATATACATTACATGTATACAATTTGATAACGTTGTTAAAATTTGAGCATTTTTCTTTTTTTTTTTTTGAAGAAATAAAAAATTCTAGATGATGAAAGTATTTTTAATTTTTTCTAATAACATACGTTAAAGTCAGAATGAATCAAATCGAAAATTTTATCAAATTTCTCTATACCAATTGCTTTTTTCCTTTTATGTACTGTAATTTTCATCCGGTAGCTACGTATTTATTTAGGAAAAAAATTACCAAGTATAACTTTTGGGCTATACTAGCTTGTTCAAGATGACTTAGTTTTAAATTAAACTTAGAAATGGCACATCAGAGTAGGCCATTAAAAATTGGTTACTTATTTTTGAAAATTAACGCAATCGCCTTTTTCAGATTATGCTTAGTGTAACTGTCTAACTTTCTCTGTAATTACACCACACACGTCTAACACGTGTTCTATTAGTAATGTAATTATTTCAATTGCTATCACTAATTAAAGAAAACTGTCATTTGTTTAAAATGGAATAAAATTACATTTTTTAACTTCGAAGATAATAAAATAGACAAATGAGAAAACTGTTTCTTTTCGAATAATTGTTTTATGTGATTTTATAAAAATTATGTTGTGTATGAAATTAATTTTCAATTGTAGAACTTAGGCAGTGTTCAGCATCTACAAATTGTCTGATAATTACAACAGAAAATAATTTACTTATTTGAATGAAATAACGAAAGTATTAAAATTTTATTGGATGCAATGATTCAGTCATTTTTATTAATAACGCTAAATGCTCTGATTGATATAGTTAAGGGAAGTCAAGAGAAAGACAATACAGAAATAAGGATTAAGGTCCTAATTTGGAATAATACGAGAAATCTAGTTGCAATATATTGATTCTTAGATCTAAAAGCGAATTTTAAAATAATCTGTATTTGTTATTTTATATGATTTATTGCTTGTATTTGTTATCATTTAATAAATAGGTTAAATTACTTTTCTAATTTCGTGATATTTTAGACTATGTGTAAGTAACGACAAATGTACGTTTCTTGTTGAAGTAGAATTAACGTTACTGATGATAGGTTTTCGTTAATAGTATGCCCAACGAGCTTAACGTTTTTATCCCCTGTATTTTTGCGTCTAGCAAAACGCGCTTAATTAATACTAGCGCATATCAATTAGCATACGCGAACATATATGCATATAGTTGGATAGTTAAACAATAATTGCAAATTGGTGACGTAGAATTATATACACTTTCCAACATTAACTTAAGTATTCCGATGAAAATAAAAAGGTTAACACACAAGTTTGTGTTGTTGCGCACAGTTTACATTTAACGTGGGATTAATAATGACTTTTGACCAGGAAGACCTACTTTTGAATCCGGTTTGGAAGCCGACAATATATGTACCTGTACATGTGACCGCCTGTACGAACACACAAATACATATATGTGTAAT